AAGTTTTGAATATTTTAGTCAAAAGCATTTGACAATGAAGGAAATTGATTGGTGATTTTTTTGGAATCCAAATTAGAACAACAACTCAGAACTCACTAAAGTTCAAACCTGCTACAAAGCCGATGACGCTGGATACTAAAAATATTACCGCTGCACCGCTAAAGCTTAAGGGCGGAAGTATCATGCTATGGTATATTCTGGTGCCAGTTTGATGGAACAATACATAAAATACATTAAAAATAAAAGGACCACCTTCAAATTGACCTTTAATCACCAGCTACTGTAGGCATTTAAACATTGAACAGAAGCTAATGTAAGTGGCATGTGAGATTATATAACAAAATATTTAAGTTGGAACCAATTCTTGTTTTTGTTCTTGTTCTTGTGTAATTATTACAGTCTAAAATGAGAATGGTTCAAATGCATTTATAAAAAGCAATATACAGTGACATTTTCCGTCCAAGTAGAGTGTATGTCAAATGCAAAATGGTGCTATAATGGTCCATTTGATCATGTCTTCGTCTAGTTTAAGACGTTTAAAAACCCGGTGTAGCTCCACTAATGTTGCACTTAACTTTGTGATAAAAGGCTATAATGTTCTAGTTATAAAATAAATTAAATACTTTACATCCAACCAACATATATGTTTGAGGTCACTTAAAGTTTAATTTAGATTAAACATTATGATGCTAAAGTTAAAAGTACAAATTTGAAAAATGGCTTTTGGTGAGACATAGAAAAATAGGTCTGCCCCGGGCGAAAGACTGGTAAAATAGCTGAGTATTTTAGATATGTGAGATTGACTATAAATGACTTGAACTCAGGTTGTAATCAATCTGTATTTTCAGTTCTTTAGTTATGTATGTTAAAGCAGGAGAGTAAGGTAGCTGACTGTCAAGTAAAGGCTTTAAGTTTTTCTCTTTCAAAGGGAAGTGAGCTAACACTGACTTCACAACGTAGGCACACATGAACTCATCTAAGGGGAGTATAATGTGTTAAGAAACTGCAAACTTTTCCCTGGAATGTGTGATGCTGCTGTATAGATTAGACCTCTACTTTCTAGAGCCTATAAAGTAAATTGACACGTTTTATTGCTTTGTTAATAAGGCAGTAAAAATTTATTCACAGTTTGATACACATAAATCTGCATTGAGTTATTTAAAAACACACTCTTAATTAAATGATTGACACGTTTAACAACTTCACGCAATCTTGGATTTGTTTTTGTTGTGAATGGTATTCAGTTGGGATAAAATTTTCTATTAGTGGGTACCAGAAACAATATGTTTCTATAACACTGGATTGTTTTACTCCTGTGAGACATTTTCCTCTAAAAGTGTTGTCTCAGTCTTTCTATCACTAGATGATATCTACACTGGCATTTAAATTTGTTTCATTGAAATCTATCTTTAGTTATTATCTTGCAGCATGTGAAGAAAATTGTTTTTTGGACACACACCTCCCCACAATCTGAGAACTCTCTGTTTCACTATTCTCACAGTCGCCTGGTGTCTCCTTTTTCCCCCTCATCTCTCATCTTTCATTCAGTAGCTACTCTGCAGTTAAAGAATGCAATCTAATAGGACGAATGCATTCAATTTTATATCAAGATATCAGCTATTATCTCCTGTCCATTTACAACAGAGGTGGCCTCGTGATCTATAAAAAAATATCTTGACTGAAACACTGAGGGCTATCTCTGACCTTGCTTTGTGCCTTCGCCTATGTACTATTTTGACTTTCTGCCTTACCTGCTGAAATAAACTTGATGAGAAACTATATAAAAATGAGCATATATATATAGATATCTATATATAGATATCTATCAAGGAAAAGGCTCAAACAGACGACATGCTCAGTATATTCATCAGATAATGGGGAACAGAAGATGAGGTGCTAGAGGTTCCGTCATGGGAGGATAAGCCCCTAAACGAGATGTACCACCGAAATATAACCGAGGTGGTAGATATCAGGAAATCCTACCAATGGCTAGGCCAGGCATCCCCAAACCCGGTCCTCAAGGCCCCCTGTCCTGCAGGTTTTAGAGGTTTCTCTGCTTCAGCACAGCTGGTTATAATGATTGCTGTAGACCAAAAGCCTGTTAATCAGCTTTCAATTAAAATCACCTGTGCTGGAGCAAGGAAACCTCTAAAACCTGCAGGACCGAGTTTGGGGATGCCTGGTCTAGGCAAAGCCGGACTAAAGGTCAGCACAAAGGCACTCTTCATTGCCACACAGGAGCAGGCCCTAGGCAAGAGAGCAATAGAGGCCCAGATCTACCACACCAGACAGGTGCATACTGTGCAAAGAGGCCCCTGAGACAATCTAGAACGTAACTGTAGGGTGTAAGATGCTGGCAGGCAAAGCTTACATGGAGCGTCATAACTAAGTAGCTGGAATAGTATACAGGAACATCCGTGCAGAGTATGGTCTGGAAACTGCAAGGTCAATGTGGGAAACACCTCCAAAGTCGGTAGAAAATGACGGAGCCAAGATTCTGTGCGACTTCCAGATACAGACGGACCAGATGGTAATGGCAAACTAACCGGATGTTGTGGTGGTGGACACAAATCAGAGGAAAGCCGTTGTGGTTGACATAGTGACTGCAACATCATGAAAAAAGAACATGAGAAACTAGAGAAATACCAGGGGCTCAGAGAAGAGCTGGAGAAAACCCGGAAGGCCAAAGCATCAGTGTATCCGTGGTCATTGGGGCACTTGAGGAGTGGTTGCAGCAGATCCCTGGAAATACATCAGACATCTTGATCCAGAAAAGTGCAGTTCCAGGAACAGCAAAGGTACTGCTCAGAACCCTCAAGCTCCCAGGCGTTTGGTAGAGGTGCTTCGAGGAAAAAAGGGAGACAACCCGCTGTGGCTGAGGAAGAGTTATTTTTTTTATTATATATATATATATATATATATAATTTATATTTATTTGTTTATATATAGAGAGAGAGATAGCAATACAGGCCCAGATCTATCATACAAATCCCAGATGCAGATTATGCAAACAGGCCCGCGCTGAAATAGTCCACCGTCTCACATCAGGGTGCAAGGTGCTAGCAGGAAAAGAATATATGGAACATCATAACAACGTCGCTGGTATAATGTTCCTAATCATCTGTGCATACCCGGAGAAACATCAGAGATCCCAGTCCAGAAGAGCAAATTCCCAGGAAAGGCTAAGTAACTGCAAAGAACCCTTGAGCTACCAGGCATCTTATAGAGGCCCTGAGCTTGAGATGGAAAAAGCCTCCTAACCAAACTAGGAAGTATCAAAATTCTGTCAGCAGGCGGAGCGTCTAAATAGTACATGGAAGTTGGCATAAAGGTCAGAGATAGTCCTCAGTCTTTCAGTAAGAAGATAAAATGTATATAACACAATGTAATAAAAGTTTATCAATCTCTACTTGAATTTGTATAAATTATGCTTTTTAAACTGATCCTTTGTGTGATAGTAGTTACTCCTGTGATACGCCTTTTCATCCTTTAGGTTATTTTTGGGTAGAATATTGTAAGGTATTTTCATCAAGCTCAGTAGTTTTTTTTTATTGTCTTTTTTAATCAGCACGTTTAATTCTAAACTTATAAGCATTAAATAAACTGCAGTGTCTTGTATTCCCCTATTCATTTTTCCTCTGTCCTAAAATTTAGATGGGGACACATTTTAGTCTTAATTTATGGTGAGTCTAGGATGGACAATATCACATCTAATCAAACTCAATTTCACTGTAATTCTGCAATTACACCTTGAGGGAAGAGCAGATTAAAGCCTGTCGCCTTTGGATGATTGAATTAGAACATGTTATTAAAAAGGATAATGAGTATGTGAAAGCAAACATTAGGCTTTGATTACTGCTCTCAACAAGAGGTAATATTTAGCTAAGTGAAAAACAGCTTATTAAATGTGCAAGCTTATCAAGTAAATATTGTTAAAATAACTAGTAGCTCTGCTGCCAACTCTCTTTACTGCATAACTAAATAACCAGAGCCTTTTTTCTTCTGTCTTCTGTCTTGGTCTCAAAGGGGAAAACCTGACGTGTTTTTGATTTGATGTACTGTACGAGATTCACACAGTTAATTTTTAATTAAAAAGGTTTGTGTCACGTGTTGGCTGCTGATTAACAGCCTTATACTTGGTTCTATGAATTAGACTTCCCTATGGAACTCTCACACGTCTTTGTAAAAACAGTCTTACTTATAAAATTTGAAATAAAAAAATAAACAAAAACAACAACAAACTAATTTTGGTACAGTACATTTCCCAATTTTATTTGATAAAAAAAATACATCTTTATCCACTGAAATGTATGCAATAGAGGGGAGCTTTTGATTGCTGCACTGACAGGTGCAAAGAAAAAAGGGTTATTTGTTGAAAAAAAAAATCTAAAATAGGCTCTTAGTAAATAGCAAGTCTACACATAAAAAGGCAAACTCTGCAGCTTGTACTGTAGAGGGCCCAATGCTGCATTGTAAGCGAAGTGATTTGAGAATTCTTATTCCCAACCAGGTAATTTGAGTCTTGCAGGTGGATGTTTGGTGGTTTTAGGGTCACCCATGAAACCAGTCCCAACTCTAATAAAACCAAGGAGCAATGCAGGACCGCAAGGCTGAAAACCCCCATTAACTTCCTTCCCTTTAACATGGGGACAGGTAACCTAATGACCCTGCAAAGCTGCCAAGCTCCCTGATCACATTACTTGGGAGTTGCAGGGTTGATGACTTGGCACCTGAAACAAGACATGATTCTAGGACAAAAATGCTATTTGCCCCAGACCTGAAGATAAAAGAGAAAAAGAGATTTTTTATGTGGGGAAAAAATAAGTATCTTTAAGGAGGCTTTTGCTGTACATATATTAAATACATTCATTTTTTATATAATTTGTGGCTATAGACTTGTGATTTAGATGCCAAATTAACTTTTTTTTTATTTTCTTCTTCCTTTTACCATTCTTTTATCATCTATCTATCTCTCCACCTTCCTATTATTCTTTATCTAGTGGGACGCCATTACCGAGATGGACGAGCACAATCGACCTATCCATACTTTCCAGGTTTGCAATGTGATGGAGCCCAACCAAAACAACTGGTTACGCTCCAACTGGATTTCTCGACAGGCGGCCCAAAAGATCTATGTGGAGCTTCGCTTCACCCTGCGTGATTGCAACTCTATTCCATGGGTTTCTGGCACCTGCAAGGAGACCTTCAACCTCTTCTACCACGAGATGGACGAAGCACATGGTGTCAAATTTAAGCCCAGTCAGTACACAAAGATTGACACCATTGCTGCTGATGAGAGCTTCACTCAAATGGATCTTGGCGATCGCATTCTCAAGCTAAACACAGAGGTGCGGGAGGTGGGACCCATGACGAAAAAAGGGTTTTATTTGGCTTTCCAGGACATTGGTGCCTGCATAGCATTAGTTTCGGTGAGGGTTTACTACAAAAAATGCCCATTTACGTTGATGAACCTGGCCTCATTTCCAGACACAGTCCCTCGTGTGGACTCTTCTTCATTGGTGGAGGTGAGAGGAGCATGCATCGATCATGCTGAAGAAAGAGACACTCCCAAGCTATTTTGTGGAGCTGATGGAGACTGGTTGGTACCTCTTGGAAGATGTGTCTGCAGTGTCGGGTATGAGGAGATTGATGGGTCATGTGTTGGTAAGTGTTTTGAACCTATTTTTTCTATATCTCTTCTTCATTCTTTATAGATAAATCAGCATCAACAGCTGGACTGACATTTCCATATTATAAATAGTTAGAGGGAGTCTCTGACAGACTTCTTAAAAACTTAACAATACTTTCCTTTTACATTTACAGCATTTAAACTTGTTCTTTATTTTACAACTAACAGTCCAATTCATTTTGTAGAATCATACACCTGAAGTAACCTTGCCTAAAGAGTAAGTTGAATTTAACATTTTAGTGGAAGTATATTCTACTTTGTACATGCAAAAAATTTTTGTTGGTCTCTTGTGACAGTCATTGCATTACAGTCTGCATTTTATTTGCTTGTATTTTATTAGTATAAATTCAATATCCAACCAAATGTACTTTTTTGGTGAAAATAAGGTATAATTCTTAGCACAGCCTGTACTTTCATTTCAACCTTCATATCATGTCTTTGTGGCTAACATTGGCACACTTGACTTTTCTAAATCTGCATAATTGGCTGACATAAAGTAGTTATGTGAAAACACCTAGAGAGGTTTGGTGATGGGAATCATTTTTCATAGTACAACAAAGACTGTACTGTATGTTCCTTGAAAGATTAAATAGATTTGTTTGATAGTGGAGAATAAATCCATCTTACACACGCAAACTTAAAATTACATTATTTTAATCCTTCTATGTGTCTCATATATGTCCATCATTGTGTTATGTTACATGCATACCCTCCATTATGCTACTCTTAGACTCTAAAGTGTTTATACCAATTTGTTTTTCCTACCCTGCCTCCAGTATATCCCTATACTGTTCATTTTGTCACCTCTATTACTCACTAAAGATGCTGCAAAGTTTAAGTTAGTATACTGTATGGCGAGGGTTGGCCTTATCTTCAAAAGTAAGTTTGTTGTCAGAGAGCTTTACGGTTGCTAATCCGCATATATTTATCTGAACTCACAAATGCTTGTGTGTGTATAAATACAGTAAGACGCATTGGGTTTTTTTTTGCAACTTACAATGCAAACCCACAGAATACATTTTCTTCCAAAAATGTTATGACTATACAGCACATTGTCTGACAGGTATAGTTTAAGACTTTGAGGTGTATACACCATGTGAAAGAATATGCTAAACACTTATACTTTCCAAAGCACAGAAATTGATTGAAATGATCAAAAGAGAATATGTCTCTTGCATGCTGTCAACCTTTCGTGGCTTTATTTCAGTAGCTCCTGATTTTAGTGTAATGCAACAATCAACAATCTTATTAACACATTTGAAGAGGTTTTTGTTGGTCTCTGAGGAATGTTAACACCTAACTCCATGAAGTGCATAAAATCCCCAAAGCCTTCCCAATCTCTTGTGCTTGTTGCTTTTACTGTATGTCTTCATCTATGGTGTTACAAATTTTCAACATAATGTCCTCCAATATTTTTATCATCTCATCCTTGCCTTTTGAGCACAGCAGAAAAGTTCATGATGCATGTAGTGGGCACTAATTATATAACTAGATCAAACTAAATGATTTTTATAGAGTGTTTATGATTACAAACAGAACTGCATAAATTGCATTTTGCATCCTTGTCGACATGAAACAGAGCAAGTATCCCAAACCGGACTTATGATGCATTCAGGTTTCTGCCTTAGGATTAGTCCAATTATTCCAATCAGGTCCCTTAACACTTCCCCTAAGCATTAACCCTCTGTTTGCACATTGGCATGGACGATTCACAACATTAGGGGCCCACATAGTGGGGCGAGTGAACCATTAAGCCCTTAAATAGGTTCACCAGAATTTGGTAGTGTGTGTATTGGCGAACTCATGACGAATGAAACACTGGCATTTAAATGTAAGTTCTGCTGGTTCTGCTGCATCATCACAATGATAGAACATCACAAGTTAACTAAAAAAGAAAAAAAAAGACAATAAATTCCAAAGGAAGTAGTCTCTGAAATAACTTTGTTTGACTGTATAAATTTATGTTGAAGGAGGAGCAAAAGTTCATGTCAACCTGCACCACAGAGGTACAGCCATGCAGATGGGGCACCACTGTGCTGCCATAGTAACGACTGCCTTACTTCGCTGGAGGGAAGAGGGAATCGCGTTCTTGTTTATAACCCCCACTTTTAATCAACGGTCCCTCCATACGATTTGACTTGATTGAGAGGGACACTCGGTAGTTACGGGGTAGTACTTGGGCTGCTGTTAGGGCCTATTTCCTTTGCTCTGGCATTACTTCTCTTGCGAGTAACAATGAGGCTGTGTTCAAGAAAGGAAAAAAAAAATGGTGCCCTCTACTGGAAAGGTATGACATTACAACACCAAAAAACATTTATTTTAAGCAGATGCTATAAATAACTAAATGGAGCAATTTTGAATCTAATAAACCATTAATTCACAATTAATTATTATATACTAAAAATAATCATTCTTAGAAATAGACTTTAAGCAGATACAACTTACTGTTTTACTGTTTAAAAAGTAAAACATTACAACACCTCAGAACTCCGCAATTATCCATATAAGGAGCCAAGTTGCGTAGTTCTATCACTTTAGAGCTTTGACAGTTGTTAAGAGAACTCCAAAAATATATTTGGATAGGGCTTTTTTGATGTAATAGAGAATCTTTAAAATTATTCTATATTATATAATTTAGTCAATTTTGACTTTGAGTGGAGCATCAGCAGGTGTGTTAATTAAGTCAAACTGTGAAGCTTAATACACCAAATAGTTACTTTAGTTGTTTTTTTTTCAAGAATATTTTTATCTGAAACAAAAAAAGTGTATGAGTACCTGTGATGAGACATGCTTATACTGTGTATATGGTGTTTTTTGGTACATCAGGGTTTGACCACCAACTGTTGAAAAGGGCTATCTCAATAGGAAAGATTACCTCAGCCGGCTGCAGTAACAGTTTGATCCTGAGCCCTCTGATATAAGCTTTACGTTATCACTGGCCGTACCACTTACTGGGGATGCTACTTTCAACAAGGTCCATTGCAGCTTCCTTTTTAACCAGGAAAAGACCTGATGTCAGGTCAGTAGATACACACAGATCTCCAATCTGCAGGATACCTGATATGCTCGCACAGAGAGATGCATCGTGCAGCTATGAAATATTTTTGTTTAAACTTTAGCCCCAGACTGTATAAAAAGAGATACGTTACTATTCTGGAGCCAGTTTAGTGATGCTACGATACATTTAAGCCAAATTTCCAAATTAAATAGGACATATAATCAATACCATAAACCAATTACACTGGGTAGAAAACCACAGTCTAGTCCCTGACAACAATGATCTACAGGTCCTACATTCTTACAACCTGGTGCTTTGCTTTGCTCAGTTTTAAACAGCTCTTTCTAGAATTCTCATTGGATCTCTTTTCTCATCCAGAACCAGATGTCTTTGTAGAGTTGATTACAATTTGCAGATGGGAACACGTTGGCTAAGCCTCCGAGCTGCACCTGCAGCTGCATCGCAATCAGGAGGCCAGAGGTGAAACTGCAGCTGTGATTAGAGTCCAACTGTTCCAGAGACTCTGCCTTTATTTGTCTGCTCTTCTTTAGCAGAGCTTGTATTATTCTGAACTGTTTTGTTACAAAATGATGTCTGTAAAGGTGGATGACACACAATTGCAAACTTTTGTCCAAATGTGTAGGAAGTTATGTTTTTAACAGCTGGTGTTTCTAACAGCTGTAGAATCTAATAGATTCATTTCCAAACATTCTGTACTGTTTATCATTTTAATTTTTTAACCCTTCAAAGCCCTGACCATAAAATAATTGAAAGAAAATTATATATATATTTTTTAATACAGTTTTCATATAACTTTCTGACAAATGTAATATAAACCATACAGTTTGTATAAGTTAAATTAGATTTTGGGCCGCTTGTCAATTTATTTCCATCAATTTTGATAAATTAGTCATTTCTGTATAGTCTTTTATAGGCTTTCTGTTCACTGCATGTGTCTGATTGTGTAAGTAAGGGTTTTCAAGAACAAAAATATCAGACCTATGATGCAAGGGTCTCAAAAACCATGTATCAGATATGTCCTTTTATGTCCTTACCACATACAAAAAAACTGTAAACATTAAAAATGTGACATATATGCATCCCTTTCAGCCATATATATATAACAGAATTTAAATCAACCTTGTTCTTCTCCTTTGTTTCCCCTGCTCTGCTCCCTCAGAAGCAGATTTCACAGTTGACTAAAGTTTAGCCCTTTGGGCAATGTGATGGCATTTTACTGCAATGTCAGCCTCGAAATGCAGCCCCCGATCATTGTTCCAGGACTCAAACAGGATTCGTTATTAAATGCCTCCACACATAGGAGCACTGGAGCACCTTGAGCACTGAAAGGAGGGCTGGGGTGGCAAGCTTAGCCAATCCTTCAGGCCCCTTTACAACAAGATCTTCTATTATAATATATAGTTGCTGTTTAATTAGACTAAGGAAGGAAAGGGTTTAGTTTTAGCTTTTTTTTTTTGAAATTCGTCAATTTTGGCTGTGGTTTAATGGAAAGCTCGCAGTTTTGGGTCCTCACTTTTAACAAGTCCAAGATTAGACTGACTATCCCTTTTAAAAGTGTAAAAGCTATAATTAGGTTAAACGCAGTTGTTTGGTGGATTTTGTCTTTGTTATTTGGTGACTTGTTCTAGTTATAGATTATCAATATATAGGTTAGATTTTATTCATAGGTGTGTAAATCACATCCATCATGGCGACTCGATTCAGTATCGATTTCCTGACCCATAGATTCGATTATTTTCGATACTCAAGAATACACCACGATTCGATTCGATTAATC